CCCAAAGGTCTCTGGGCGGCTTACAACAATTAAAATACAATAAAAAGATAACACAATTAAAATACAATTAAAATATATACAATTAAACTATATTGTATTGCGTATATATTGTGATCAACAGTATGCCAATTAGCAAATGGAGGAGCGGCAGTTAGCATCTTATTTCACACATAATCAGCTAGCAGAATAATGCGGCTGTTTTGGCCAGCTGTATATGCAGAGAACAAAAAGTTGTAATTCAATGAAATCATGATAGCCACACTGAGAAGCACATCAGGCTTAAGTAGTCAGAATAGATTCTTCGTAACTTTAGCTCTCTACAGAAATTCACAACACATGAGCATGGATTGTCTCTACCACCACTTTTCTATATAACATACAGCAAAACTACATTGAACTGCAAGTGGCCAGAATCCTTCTTGTGAATTATACTGACATAAATACAACGGCAGAAATTACAAGAACAAATTGCCACTAGATAATGAATTTTATCTCTTCTCTTTTGTGCGCCAGTCACATGAGCAGGTGCATGACAGGAGATACAAGCAACAAGTTGTAAATAACAACAATCTGCCACTGCAGCTTACATCACTGAACTTATTCTAACATAACCAACCAATAGGATTCAGGCCAGCATATTGCATTTTTAGAAATAGCCTTATGCTGATTTTAAAATGTCTTTGTCTTGAGTTTACTCTTGCATGGTCTCTTCATGTTGCCTGTAGCATTAAAATGTATTTTAGCTGCTTACGTCTATACTATTTTTAGTAAAAAAAATCATAATCGTAACTCAACATTTTTGGTACAGATACAGTGGTGCCTCGACTTACAAACGCCCCTACCTATGAAAATTTCAAGTTAGGAGAAGCTCTGGCCACAAAATTTTGCTTCGATTTGTGGCTGGAGCTTCGATCTAAGAACAGAAAAAGGCAGGGGAAAAGGCCAGGAAATTCAAACCGTTGGTGGCGAAGAGGCTACTTCTTTGTAGCTCTTTCACCCCAACGGTTAGAGCAGGGGGTCAGGGAACTTTTTTTACTCCTGACCCCCTGCTCTAACTGGGAGAGGAAGGAGAGGCGGGGGCAGTTCCAGATCGCCGACGGGCACAGGAAGCCGGTGCGCTCCCTGCCCAGCCCTGGCGTGGGTTTACTCATGAGTAAGGCTCACAGAAGGAGTGGGTCTACTCATGAGTAAGGGTGGCCAAAGGCACTTGGCTGGGCTGAGGCACGGGGGGAGGGGCTCCTCCGTGGACAGGTCGGCACAGGAGACTCCCCGCCGGGAGTGAGTGCCATTGGAGGAGGCTTCAGTCTGCCTGGTAAGGTGCTGCTTTTTCCTTTTTATAAATTTCTTGGTGGGTTTTCCAGGGTGGGTTTTGGCTGGGGGTGGGTTATCTTTCTGTGCTGTGCTGTGTTGCTTTTTGCAGTCCCAGCATGGGGATTGCTTGGCTTTTGGGGGGGGGGTATATTTTTTTGCAGCCTTTGGGGCTTGCTCTGTTTATTTTTGGGGTTTTTTAAAAGCCCCAGCGCCTTCCGATGGGGCTTTCTGTGTTATTTATTTATTTATTTGTTTGTTTGTTTGTTTGTTTGTTTGTTTGGGTATTTTTTTGAAATGCTGGAACGGATTAATCCCATTCCCATGCATTTTAATGGGAAATGGTGCTTCGACAGACGCAAATTTCGAGTTACAGTCACCGTTCCAATATGGATTAATTTTGTTAAGTCGAGACAGCACTGTATTAATCTGCATGCCAGAAATCTGTGTAATGGATACACGATGAGCATTTTCTTGGGCAGGTATACCCACGTGAAAGGTTGCTGTTTCGTCTTCTTTGCCCACGTGCATTTGGTTATGCACTGATTACAATTATACTCCTATGCAATAATTATCAAAGACAGATGCCACCCAGAGTAGACTATCTGTCTAGATGGGCGGGATATAAATCTAATAAAATAAAATAATAAATAAATAAATAAATCTTCTTATTGAAAGATATGAAGATACAGCAAACATTGTCAAGCCATGCTGAGTTTGTAGGAGATAAAATTTAGGGGAAGTTGATTGTATCTTTTAGGGGACTTATGATAGCCTTGTCACAAATTATCTTGTTTTATATCTCATTTATAAAATATGAGAGAATAATACCCCCAATGCATAAACCAAGAGTCTAAATGTGAAATAGAGAGCCTTGTTAAAGGATAATGAACATTTCTTCCACCACACAGCTCTATTAATCTGTATCAGAGTGAGCAATCTCAGGGGGCTTGAAGGCCAAATCTTTGCCTCCAGCTCCTTGAAGGCTGTACCAGCCCAGAAATGGCTATCTTTGGTGATTACAATAAATAAAGTGGAAGCACCCAGGCTGGCACTTGCAGTTTCTTTATTTGTATGTGTATCAGAGGTGAAGTTTAGGAGAAACACCAAGACCCTCACAGTGAAAGCTACGGTACTTGTGTGGGTGGGTGGGAACGAAGACCCTAAGGTGGCCTTGGGTGCCTGCAAAAAATTCCCCAGAGGGGCACATAATGTTGCCCATTGCTCAGTATGATTATTTTTTCTTTTAAAAAATATTCTATACAAGGAAATTTTGAACATTAAAAGTTTTACAATGATCTTGGTGTTTATACAAGATTTGTGTAAGTTGATGTGGCTAACTGTGCTAATTAGGGGCACATCTCAGGTACATGCCTGGTCATGCACCCCTATGTGCAATTCAGATGCATCCTGGCACTTCATCAATTAGCTGCAGTTAGTTACGCAAATTCTACATAAACACCAACAAGTTTCTGGTCAATAACTTAAAATCAGGATAAAGAGAAATGCCTCAGAAACAGTGTTATTATCAAAGAGGCAAACAAAGGAGAGGTCACTGCTATTATGAACAAATTGGAATAGACACAGAAAATTGAGAGACAGAATTCCAACACCCAATTTTACACACTCTTTGCCACAAACTCAATGGTTGAATATTGTAAAGAACTACAGTAATATGAATTCCATGGAGACATCTGTGATTAGATCCAAGTTAAATACCTCACAAAATCCTTAGCTATGCTTCTTCTACCTCTTAGTCAAAATACACAAACCCTGGATGGCCCAGAAGAAAGCATTGGTACCATCACTTCTGGGATGTCTAGGTATATGGACTTTCTTCTCAAACCATGTGCATCCAACCCTCCCAGCTATGTAAAAGATACAATCAACTTCTTAAGAAAACTACACAGGCTATCCACAATCTTCCAGATGACACCATCATGACCACAATGAATGTAAAACATTTTATAACAACATTCTACACAAATATGGTCTATAAGCCATCAAAAATATATTTTCAAATGAGCTCACAGCAAATCTTGCTACCAAGCTGTGTGACTTTCTGTTCACACACAACTATTTCACCTTTGTCAATAAAGTATATTTCCAGATCAATGGCCCAGCTATGGGCATGTGCAGGACAGAGCCAGGCTAGCACCCAGGAACAACCTGATACAAAACAGAGCCAACTGAGAGAATGACAGAACACCATCAGTACACCTACAGCTCTCATTTGAGATAGCTGAAATTTATTATCAATGATCTGTAGCCCATTCTGGACAACCATACTTCCTTCACCCACATTTTGGGTGGCTACCCCATACTTGCCCCAAACTAAAACAACTACTAACACACACAACAGGCAATACAACATGGAGATGGAGACAGGAACAAGATCCTGCCACAAATTCAGTTGCCCCCCATATTTACACTGGTAGCATGATCAAGTGTCCCAACAATGTTGCCCACAAAATCAGGGGCTCATTTACACATTCATCCTCTAATGGATTTATGTGATCTTCTGCCAGCAGTGCCCCTCTGTTTTCTATAGAGGATAACCAGGTCAATCTCAGTGCAAAATAATGAATGCACACAGACCTGAGATATCAAGAATGGAAAGAGAGATAAATCAGTCGCTTCAGCCTGTAGGAAGAAGGAATTTCAAAGGAGGACATGACAATGTGTGTGTGTGTGTGTGTGTGTGTGTGTGTGTGTGTGTGTGTGTCTGTGTCTGTGTCTGTGTCTGTGTCTGTGTCTGTGTCTGTGTCTGTGTCTGTGTCTGTGTGTCTGTGAGAGTGAGTGAAGAAAAGAGCACAGAAACTAGCCACATAAACAAGTTCCACTGCATCTCTAAGGACCTCAATAGAGACCATACCTTCTTGCCACACTACACATCTGAACAACCCAGATTTCTGTACTATCTTTTGGATATAAAATACTTCCTTCTTTAATAGGCTTTGACATCTGTCCTATAAACAACTCTTAGCAGTTCCATGACAGTCATGTCTACCTAGTTTATCACCCTGCCTACAAACTGTACTTTACCTGGATATGAATTTCACCTCTAGGGAATTAATGCCAAGCGATATGTATTTGCACTCCTCTGTCTTAAAAAGTGGATTCTGATCCACAAAACATACTGAAATAAAACTGATAGTCTTTCAAGTGCTACAATATTTTGCTATTGCTTCCATTTCTTTGTCAGCATGCTTTGTCATTAACACTGTTACTCCTTTGGAAGTTACTGGAGGAAAGAATAGGGCTTATCCAAAGAGACCAAAGGCTTTACTTTGCTGATGCTGATCCTGAGTTTGTTGCGATTCACATCTGTTTCTTCCCAAACCTCTCCTTCATTGAAGGCAACATTTGGAGTCTGGCCCAAGCTCTCTGCTGGTCGGCCAGGCAAGATCGGGGGAGCATTCTCCTGGTCACTCAGGTGCTCTCCTTGTAAAACATCCTCCGTGTTCTCACGAAGTAAATCTCCAGGAACTGGAGTGACATTAACCACTCTAAAGGGAAGAAAGCATGCAAAAGCTTCAGATGAAAATCCTATGGTACAGCTTTGGAGCAGTATTATCTGACAGCACCACAAAGACCCTAGTAGAGACCAGCCTATATTAACTTTAAAGTACTGTACCTGTATAGCAATAAAATAAAATAAAATAAAATAAATAAAAAATTCTGTATTGTAATAAACACGTTGATTCCAAATTTATTCTCTTGTATTCATGTACAAAATACTTGTTCCAAGTGAAAAATAAAGCACCTTAGCTGGCTACTTTATAGACTTAACTGAAGCAAAGACCCAGAACTATAGCTAAAACAAAACTTTTAGTGTTCTACACCAAGCAGCCATTCTAAGTGGCAAATGATGAAGCTGAGAGGCCTCGCACTATCTTTCTCCCTCCCTTAAGGAAAGTAGGTGTCATCATAAATGTTTAGCATTACTGTATGAAAGGAGTAAAGTATGCACAGCAATGAGTTTATGTGTTCCAAATGTCAAAACATTGTGTAGATACTGTTCATTATGCACCCTCTCTTGCGTGATGTAAAGCATTGCCCTGTATATCATTCTGGAACTATAACTCAGCAATTTGTCTATATAGCACTGGAAGCTGAAGGCTTTGTAGCTTGAGAAGCAATGGGGGTGGGTGATAGATGGGAGACCTGCACTACAGTCTGTGGTCATGGAATGTATGTGAGAACAAGTTGCTAATTGGTTGTTAATGAATGCATCCCTGCAACATGGACTATGAAAAAGGTGGACTTCTAAATGTGAATTTTGCCTTTCCTGACTTGTCTTTTTTCTTGGGATCCCATGTTTATGTATTATTCTACCCATGTGTGAAGGCTGCAAAATTATCTGTTGTAACAATTGATAAGAGATGGAGGGGTTGAAACCCCTCTATGTTCAGACTGGGCAAAACAGTTAAAACATCAACAGCATTTTGACAGACTGGCTATATGTGGGAATTGGTTAAAGTATGTCCAGGCAAGATGTTGTTATTTCAGACATATTAATATCTACATATGTCAACAACTGTAGAAGTTAAAATGGAAAATTCCTTGAAGTTATTACTAATGGGAAAATTTATGCCATCCTCATAAAATATCCACCAGTAGTCTATACCATGGTAAAAACTCTGCTCTAATCTACCATCCTAATTATCTTTATGTCATTTAATATGAGGCAAGGCTGCATCTAGAAATACTGTATATAAGTCTAATAATAATAAATATAGAAATATAAGCATTGTTTGTAATACCTAAAAATGTTACATAGTTATAACAAGATGCAATCTGGCCTAAATGTTTGTTTCAAGTGCGTACCAAATTTAAATAAACCACTGTATGCCATGAAGTGATTAGATCCTGAGATGAGGAAAATATTTTCATGTTGATCTTTAAATATCCACCATAAGTATAACTCTGTATATTATATTCTGTTGCTATTCTGACTGCAATGTTTTTACTCTTGATCATTCTTATTTTGTTGGGCATGTCTGCACAGAAAAGGGAATCCTAATGCTTTCTAGACATGCACTTCTGCTTTGCTGAATATTTTAGCATGTAAAATCAGCAGACTACATTGATTTAGTAGCCAGCAGCAGAAAAATCAGCTGTGAAATGCCATTCATAAACAATGTATGTGGCCAATGTATGTTGGACCAATCACAAATATTTTTTAACAGGAAACTGACTGTGACATAAACCAACACGGAAGTCGAAGGGGTTGTGATTATTGGACAAGAAATACAACACATTTATATACTATTCCATTCATGTCATGTTGTGAGCTTTGGGGAGCCATGGACACAGACAGAAATTACGTATAAGATCCTGAACATACAAACCTATTGTTCTAAGAGTAGTTTGCTTATCAAGGTGATAGCATGCTGAGGTGGTCAGAGAAGGAGTGTGCTGCTCAGCACATAACAGTTTCTTTTCCCTGGAGGGGATGGGTAGCTATTGTCTTCCAGTCCTCCCTGAAAGTTTCAACATAGGGAGTCTAGGTTATGAAGACTGTTTGATTGCCTTGGTCATGATAGCCCCTGCTGTGGGAGGGAGTGCCAACAATTCTTATGGCACCATGGTACCAAAAGACCAAATTCAGATGGATGTGGGAGTCTCACCAGTGCGTGAGGGTGCCTGTGTGTTTCTTGTTGCTGTACTGTATCATGCTGCATCCTTGTCAAACTTCCCAAGGGTTTAGTAGCTTTGGATTTAGTTAAGCTCATTGATGTTCTGGCTGGTTCAAAATGATTAATCAGCATACTAGCTCTTTCCAGGTATAATCACATGGAAGACATCAAAACACTAAGAGAAACTTATCAAGACAAAAAAAATTCAAAAAGAGTTTGCTTCTGGTAACTTAAAGCAGTAAGCTGAGAATCTGCTATTGGAAATATCCAAGGATATATAGGATTTAATCCAATGACCTTTTAAGCAGAATTCTATTCTTGGCTCCTGCTCATGAGGAGTGGAAAAAATATATATATTACCCTTTCAGCTGCCACTGCCCCTCCCAAAAGAAATCTGTTACAAAGAGGCTAGGAACCCTCTGTAACAATCTGAGAGATCAACAAAAAACAAATTTCAGTAACCTCTGCTGGTCAAAAGCCTTTGTGTTCATTAAGGACTTGTTAACGAACGATAATTTGGGATTCCATCTGTTGCCAGTAAGTCATACATTTGCAATTTACTGGGGAAAGCCACATGTATAAATCATATTAGCAAATGTTTGTTGCTGTACCCATACAAAACATTTTTTAAAAAATTATATAAAGCCTAAATTTTAAACAGGGAACTGAGGAATGAGCCATTCCTCTAATGAAATTACATCAGTGCTGATTGCGTCACTCACCCAAACATGGCTGCTGTTTGCCTTGTGTTCTGTTGAGGCGGAGTTGAGGTACTTGTAGATAATAAAATATCTGTACCAGCTTTCTCCCAGTCAAAGGCTTCATTCTCAGTAATCCCTCTTTCCTTCATGCTGTTTTCAAACACAGTCATGATCAGCTAAAAGAAAAGCAAATTGGAATAATAAGGTTCAAATATTCATCAACAATCAAAGAGAAAAGGAATACAGGAAGCCATCTAATACAAAATAGTGACTACATCACATATCACTGTAAGCCATTATTTTTTCCTGAAATAGTGCTTGTCATGAAGTTTAAACCTACCTCTGCTAAGAAGTTATTATTTGCTAACCAGACACAAACCACAATCTCAACTCTTGGTCTATAGCTGGCTTATAAACTAAGGCTTGTTTAAACCATGGCTTATCATAACATCAAAACTTACAACTATGCCTTGCCATTGACTAGTTTCTCCAGCTGCCAACTAGCAACAGAGATGGGGAAGACAAGGTATGTTATTTAGTTGTTCATTGTACAATTTATAACTTAAGTGACAAACCATGGTTTATACAAGCCAGACTGTGTGCAGACGTGCCATATGTGTCCATCTAGCTCAGTTGCTCTGTCTGCTATCATTGAATAGTGCAAGGTCTGGTTAAGGCACATAGTCTCAGGACACATCAGAGACAGAACCAGTCTTACTTATAGTTCTGCACTTGCAGACAAGCATAAAATATCTGCTTTGGATCATGCAGACAGTGCAGCTTTCATTGGCTCTCTTTTTATCTGCATCTGCTGTGTAAATTGGCAGAATAATGGCATGGCTCTAGTCATAATAATCAATGTTTTACTGCAACAGTGGGAGACACTAAGTAAGAAAAGTCAGCAAAACAAGAAGGCTGAAATGTTCCAACTGAAAAAGAAAAAAACCCAGAAGAAATCAGTGATCATAGCAGTAACCTAGGAAATCTGATGCATATGATTTGATCATTTATGCTAAGTTCAAACATAATGTACATAATCTGTGAGATAAGAAAAAATAGCTGCTAATAATAAAATCTACCACATCTTGAAATTGTTCAGTTCTGCTATTCAACTACTATGTATATCACTTTGCATCAGGAATCTGGTCATCTAGTCCAGTGGTCCCCAAACTTTTCTAAACAGCGGACCGGTGTGGGGTCTGGGTCTGGGCGCAGGTGGTGGGGCACCCCCATGCTCACGGGTGAGCAGGGCTTGCTCATGAGTGGGTGGGGCATGCTTGTGGGTGGGCGGGGAGTATGCTCATGCATGTACAGATGGGCAGGGGCGCTCGTGCGCATGTGCACATGGGCGGGGCATGCTCATGGGTGGCAGGGCACACTCGCATGTATGTGTGAATGGGCGGGGGGCGCTCACGTGACTGGGCAGGGCACCCGTGCGTGTGGGTGGGTGGGTTGTGCGGGTGGGGGGTGAGAGATCAGTCTCCGTGGCCCGATCCTGCCAAGGCCAGGGACCAGCACTGGGCTGCACACCGGGGGTTGGGGACCCCTGATCTAGTCCATATCTTATTGTTTTAATTGACACCAGTATGGAGGGAAATCTTTATTCCAGGATACAGCAAACGTAGGGACTAACATATACCATGGAATTCTATTTGAATATATTGGGTAAAAGTGCCTTCAGGAGGACCTTTTCTTGCCTGGTTTTTAGGGCTTCATTACTGGATCCCAGGCATATTTTTCTATGCAACAGGTAGTGGGGTAAAAAAGTTATCTTTGGCTATTCAAAATTTGAATCATGGAGGAGAGATAGGTTTGCATTCTCCTACTTTATCCTTCTGCCCTTGTTCTCTTTACGTTGTTAGGAAAGGTCTGGACAGAAGTTACTATCTTGTTCAACTGAACACAATTACACTCTTCTGTATACATGAAAAACTTGAAAATTCAGGATTCCTGAATATAAAGTACTGTATCTTCAGCTGTACATTCAGCTGAAGAGAAAACTACAGTTTCTGATCAGACCTTCTATCAATATGGGGAAAACAGGGGTGGAGGGGGTAGGCTGGAACATGCAACCCTATCTTCCTTTTTTGGTCAGAATTTTTAATGCCTGAAGAGTGTTACAAGCTGCATGAATATGTTAAGAAGGACATTCTTTACCATCATAAAGGCTGCATGCACAACTCATAGAATCCATCAGAAACAATCTGATTAACTCAACTGTACATCTCTCATGTTACAGTCAAATTTTAGTGCAATTGTATTTGAGTTTATATGTTATATGTATATGCTTTTGTTTATGTTGTAGTTATAGAAAATAAAAAATACTTTTAAAATTTTTTAGTGCAATTGATCTATTTTGATTTCAATCTTGCCTTATTCTCATTACTTGTTTCTGATACTGGTAGGATGCCACTGTAACTTTTAATGGCTGTGTTTTCATAGAACTGGGGCGTTTAAAACAAGTAAAAGTGAGGATAAACTATTATTTCAGGCTAATTGCAGACATAGGAATAGAGTAATATGTAGATTCCATTAGAATCGTGATTTGAATACTTGGCCTAAATGCAGCAGTCAAAGACATATAAGGTTTAAAGAATAATTGAGAGATATCTCAAACAATAATCAAGCAAGTTTTTCATATCTACCAGCATATCTAGCATGTTTGGGAAAATCTATTTCAAAATTTTTACTGGTTGTATGTGGAGAAAGTCTGAAAAGGACGAGTCTCTCTATAACGAATATCTGAATATAATTATTATCATTATCATTATAATCTTGGAGCAGAGCTGGAAGGGACCCTATAGATTTTTGAGCCCAGCCCTTCTCAAGAAGCTCAATGAGGAATCAAACTCCCAACTTTTGGCTCTGCAGCCAGAAACCTAAAACACTGAGCTATCCAGCTATTCCTAAATATGTTAATCTATCAATAAAATATGTTTTTACCTGATAATCTGGTTTTGTGAAATAATCCAAATTTGATATATGATCCAAAAAAAGATGGAATTCAGAGGGCATGTGTTTTAGCAGCATTCGATGTTCATATTTCTCCTTAATCATACCAACTTGTTCCTAGAGTGAAAGGGACAGCAGTATTATACTAACCATAAAACTAAACCTTAGGCAGAAAGACAACCTTTGCTAAGAGAATTTTATTCTCTTCCTGAGAGGTTCCTACCTTATCTTTGATCTTACGCCATGGAAGCTGACCAACTGCAAACTCTACTAGCATGTAAAAAAGGGACCACAGATCATCATGTCGACCCATCTCCTGGGGAAAAACAAAAGAACCATGTAAAAATAATGAAGCTGCTGCACCATCTACAAGAACATTATGACTAAAAGGAGCAGAATTTGGAATGTTAATTTTCAAAAAGAACTTGATGCAGTACAGTTGGGAGAGATAGAGTTGCCATGGTACTCCTATCATTCCCTGGCTCTAAAACAAGCTGCAAAAAAGAGAGGTTACTTACCTGTAACTCTGGTTCTTCGAATGGTCATCTGTGAATTCAAACTAATGGGCTATTCTGCGCCTGTGCAGAGATCTCCAGAATATTCTAGAGCTAGGACCGCCCCCCACTACACGTGGTCCGCCTGTCGTGGTGATTATCTCAGTTTCCCAAAAAGCCCGCCACTGCCTGCAGAATGAGACAGATGTGATGGACAGAGGGGAGGACAGGCTGGAAGTGTGCATTCACAGATGACCACTCGAAGAACCAGCGTTACAGGCAAGTAACCTCTCTTTCTTCTTCGTGCTCTCTGCGAATGCACACTAATGGGTGATTAACATGTTTACCTTATAGGTGGAGGGACGTCGCGACAAGACCAAAAACAATACAGTACTGCGCAATCGAAAGCTGCATCTGCCTTGGCCCGTACATCCAAACGATAATAGGATGCAAAAGTTGATGGAGTTGACCATGTAACAGCCTTGCAGATATCTGGAACAGGTACGCCTCAAAGAAAAACTGTGGAGGCAGCCATTGCTCTGGTGGAGGGAGAGGCTTTGGAATGAGCTGGTAAGTGAGGTGTATGGTCTGCAAAATCAAGCGTGAAATAGTTTGCGGGGATATCTGTGCCCCTCTGTAAGGTGGATAAGGTGATATAAATAACCACTTAGATTTATGAAAAGAGGTGGTCCTTTTGACATAAAAGGCAAGGGCACGCCTCACATCCAAAGAGGTGGAGAGATCACTCAACACCTGTTGATGGTGATGGAAAGAAGTTAGGTAGGATAATTGGTTGGTGGACGTGGGAATCAGAAACGACCTTAGGGAGGAAAGAAATGTCTGGATATAGGGTGACTTTATCTGGATGAAATTGTAGGAACGGAGGGTCCACACAGAGCGCTGCTAGTTCAGACGCCCTATGGGTGGATGTGACGGGCACAAGAAACAAAACTTTAAAGGAGAGAAAGCGCTTGGAGGAAGTGGCAAGAGAGTTGAAGGGCAGAAGTGACAAATGTCAGAGGACCGTTTGTAGCTACCATTGGGGCGTAGGAGAGGGCCTAGGTAGATTCAGATGAGCCACTCCCCAGAGAAAATGCTTCAGCATGGGATGCTGGAATAACAAGGTGGCATCTGAGTCCTGTGGTTGGTAAGCTACAATAGCGGACATGTAGACTTTGATTGTGCTCGAAGGGTAGTAGGAGTCATAGGAAGATCATACTGATGAGCGAACTTTTGGAAAGCAGACCACTTGTATGAATAAAGTTGATTTGTGGTTGATTTCCTGGAATGGGTGAGGATGGCATTTAGGGAGGGTGGATCTCCCAAGCTGTTAGGTGCAGGGACTGTAGATCGGGATGGTAAGTCTGTCCATGATGCTGAGTGAGGAGATTAGGGAGGCAAGGGAGACGGATGGATTGAGACGTCATGGACGTGAGCATTGTGAACCAGGGTTGGCTCAGCCAATACAGGGCAATTAGAATGGTATTTGCTCGGTCGTATCTCAACTTGACAATGGTTCGCAGGATAAGTGGTATTGGAGGGAAAAGGGAAAGGAGGTGCGTGGACCAGCTTGCCATGAGAGCATCGCCGAGAGACTTGTTGATATTGACCCTAAGGCTGAGATCTGCCAGAAGAGAAAGAGTGACAGCAATGTCTTTTAGAGCTTGTGTTCATAAGTGAGCCACAAGTAGCCAGGCGTCGATGTATGGGAAAACCGAGATTCCTAGGATGCAAAGGCGTGCCACTACGGGGGCCATGCATTTTGCAAACACTCATGGAGCTGTGGAGAGGCCGAACTCTCAGCTGGTAGGATGTTGAATTCGTAGGTGGCGTGATCGAGGGAGAAGCGAAGAAATTTATGCTGGTCGTGTCTGATGGGGATATGAAAACAGGCGTCGCTCAAGTCGATGACAGAGAACCAGTCTCCGTCTTGGAGAAGGAGAAGAATACGTTCCAGAGTGACCATGTGGAAGCGCCTCTGAGTGACGAAGTAACTGAGGTCACAAAGGTCAAGGATGGGACATAGGATGTTGTCTTATTTTGGAACAAGGAAGTATCGGGAGAAGAAGCCCTGGTCGGAGGCCTCAGCAACACTGGAAATAGCGTTCTTTGAAAAGAGTGACTGGCGGTAGATGAAGAAGTCAGAATGAATTGTGGTGGTGGTGTGGAAAGGAATTCTATTCGGTATACAATGGAAATGATTGACAGAACCCACAAATCCATGGTAATGCACGCCCAAGATTGAAAATGGGGTGCGAGACAGGTGGTGACAGGAGGGGATGGAATGGGAAGCAGGACGGATGGAAAGTCAAAGCTCTGTTTGCTTTTCTTATCAGGACAGCTGAAGGATTGACAAGGGTGCTGTTTCTGAATGTGCTGATGAGGGTTGGAAGGAGGAAGACAGTTGAGGTAAGCAGCATTGCTTGTCTGGAAAAGACTTGTCTTGGTGGAAGGGATACTGATGACACCACTGATAATGCTGAGGCCTGTAATAGGGCTGAGTATTGTGGGAACGTGCAGTTTTTCTCATCTTTTGTAGGTTATCAAGGATCTCGTCTGTCTTCTCATCAAACAGACCAGCACCGTCAAAAGGTAAGTCTTTAATTCACATCTTAGAATCTTCTGAGATGCTCATGGAATGTAGCCAGGCATGTCTACGTAAGGCTACAGCTGTGGCCATATGTTTAGAGGCTGTTCAATTATATGTCACACCGTGATACACTCTTGCCGTGCTAGTGCCATAGCCTCTTGGTGAAAGGCGAGGCCCCTAGGTTTGTACTCTCCAGAGGCGGACTGTAGATACAGAAGAACCTTGTTCCGAAGAAACCTGTGGTACGGTCCTATTGCAGCTAAATAGTTGGCAGCCTGTAGGGTAAAGGATGCGAGAGAATAAACTCTACAACTGATAATGTCCAATTTTCTACCCTCTTTATTATTTCAAGTGTTGTTGGAGTGATTATGAGAACGATTCTGGGTAACATTCACAATCACAGAATTAGGAGGGGGATGCTTGGAGAGAAAATCCGTGTTGGTACCATGGGTCTTGTATAGATTCTCGACTCTGCGCAAGATCTGAGGCATTGAGGATGGTTTGGCCAAGACTTTAATAAGCTTGAGCAGGGACGGAATGAACCCCACACAAGGTGGGGTGTCTGATCCTCATCAATATCCTCATATACCCTGTCAGATTTGGATTGGGTTGTTTGCTGAACATCAAGGTCCATGGCCTTGGCAATATGGAGGATTAACTAGGAATAAGAGGAGAAATCCTCAGATGGTGTTGGAGGGTTAGCATCAGCAACACTGGAATCGGGAGTAGGAAGATTTATTTATTTATTTATTTATTTATTTATTCAATTTATATGCCGCCCACACTACCCAGATTGGGAGGTGATTTCTGGGGGACCATGGAAACGGAGGAGTCAAGAGTACGACAAATGCTCTGGCGAAAGTGATGAGCCTTGCTGATACGATGAGGTAGATGTATCAGGAGGGGTGTCCGTCCGGTGGTGTTTAGAAGCTCTGTTACCATGTCTTTCCTGTACCGATTGTGTGGGGAGGGGTTGTCTCCGCTTTTGAGGCTTTCTAGAGTCCACGGTACCAGGCGGTGGTCCTATGTAAGTCATGGTAACTTGTAAGGATGGTCCCGAGAAGGGGCAGCCATATTAGCCGATGGTACAGAAGGTTTGACCGAAGGTTTTGATTTCTTCGGTATCGAGGTTGATGGAACCGGGATAGCTGATGCATGCCATTTGTGAGTTTTCTTACAGGGCTTTGGTGACCGTAATAGTAGCCAGGACAGGGGGTGCTGAAGAGTCCAGGGTTCGAACAGGCTGAATAAGGCAGTACAGTCACCTCAGCAGAGGTATCTGTCCAAGATGGAGACCGAGCGAGCAAATGAGAGGAAGGTTGGCCAGACAGAGGCAGGATGGATTCACGGTTGGTATCGAGATTGATAGTTGATTGACTCTGTACGGAAGGATGCCGTACCGGAGGTTTGGTGTCTACAGAAGACTTTTTTGATTTCTTTAATTTGGTACCGGGTGGTTTCAAAGTAGTCTTAGGTATTGGGGTGGATTGAGATGTCAATCCAGACGACTTCCACCTGGGCAATTTTGGCTTAGGTTTAGGAGACTGTAACAGCGAATTGATGACTGAAGAAACTGGTGGCAGTTGTGAAGCTTGAGAGTCCTCCACCTTGGACAGTGGATGAAGACATTGCTCCCACAGGAAAGATTGAAGGAGCTTGATAGCTTGTTTAGTAACATTTTTGCAATAGGAGCAAGAAGCTGGTTGATGTGACTCTCCCAAACAAAATAGGCAAGAACCGTGGCCATCAGAAACCGGCAACTTATTAGTGCACAAAGTGCACCTCTTAAATGGCCCTGTTGGGGCCATAAAAAGATGGAAGGGAAGGGGGGGAATGAGAAGAAACTCACAAGGAGTAACAAAAAGGTATATCGAACAAGCTATTTCAAAATATGAATGATTAATTATTATTTTTTTGAGGAAAAGAACCAATCTGCACTCAGAGAACTCAGATGAGACCTCAGCGGTGGCAAAAAGGAACAGAAGTAATCACCATGATGGGTGGACCACATGTTCTGGGGGGGCAATCCTAGTGAACACATGTTTGAGCTCTAGAATATTCCGGAGATCTCTGCACAGGCACAGATTAACCCATTAGTGTGCATTCACAGAGACCATGAGGAAGAATGTTCTGTTATTAACTGTTAAGGTTACCAGCATATCTAAACAAAATACATGAAAATACCATGTGGTTCCACTTAGTGGCTAGTTCTGATACTGCATCTTTAAAATTCAATGACACAAAAGGTATCTTGCCTCACAACATTCTTCCAACATGCCTTAGATTACAAAATCTAGGTGCTACCCTGTTTCCCTGAAAATAAGACCTAACCTGAAAATAAGCCCTAGTATGATTTTTCAGGATGCTCGTAATATAAGCCCTACCCCAAAAATAAGCCCTAGTGAAATGAAAGCCCACCCTCCCCCATTGTGCAGCAATAAGATGATGACATGACTGTATTTGAATAAACGTAGACTGTATAAGAAAAAAAAATAAAGCATCTCATGATGCTTTTGGCCAGTGCAACCCATTCTTGGGTTTCTCTCTCTCTCTCTCTCTCTCTCTCTGTGTGTGTGTGTGTGTGTGTGTGTGTGTGAGATGCTCCAACGCAAACCAAAGAAATTAACATGTGAGTACCAAAACATATGCAACTGCAACAATTTTCTGAGAAAAGGGTTAGGGTTGCATTTTCTGACAGAACTGCAAGGGTGACAATATTTTTGGCCATGGCTATATATACCATCTTGACCCACCATTGACTATAGCAATACACTTCGCATAGCTACCTAGCAGAATATCAAATGGGTGAAGGAACACTTTTCTTTCGAATGCCTGCTTCCAAGAGAAATACTCACTCTGTTTTTATGTGCATTCACTGAAGCATAGCGGACTGTTCCCCGGAATCCAGCAACATTGCGAGGCTAGTAATAAGGAAGAAGAAAAATTAAACTTAAACATCAAAGGTGAAAATTGGCAAAGCTACAAAAGTCTCCTTTGTCACTTAAGACTAACCATTTTAATTGCATGTGTTAATATGAATTTATGCCACAGACAGGCAATTTGGTTATGGATTGAAAAGTTCTTCTTGAATTAATCCTTGAGGAACTATAAACAGTTAAATAACTACTCATGTCTCAATATCAAAGGGTTTATATGGCATGCCATTAGAGGTAAAATAATCTTTTTAAAATCTTCTATAAATGTAAGCCTCTTTCCTGCCTTAAACAATATTTTAGCCTTCAGCAGACAGCGAACGGCAGCTTTACAATTCTTTTCTGTACAAATCCCACCCCTAAAAACTCCAAAATGAGTTTTGTATCTTATCACTTAACTGTAGAAAGTGATTCACAACAACCTAATCCTTCTTAACAAAAGCTAATATTTTCACTTGCATAACTCAGGAGTCTTCTGTACACTGCTTTGGTTGGTTATTTTTATTTACATTGTCAGGAACATCCTGGTCCTCCAAAACAAAGTTCTCCATAAAGGCTGACTTACAAATTACATTTTTAACATTCTAAACCCTCAGATATTTTAAAAGTACACTTTAAAATGCAAAACACAAAAACAAATGGGAATGAATTTGTAAATCATGCACACATCTGTCTTTAATGAGTGACTCCCAAGTGAATGTACTTTCAGTAGCAAATATGGGTTTTCTACTGTGCAGTGGGACATGTCTCTAGGATTAAAAAATACACAAAGGTTAGATCTATGATACAATGTTTTCTTTTGATTCCAGACTATCCAACTTGTCCAGCCATCTATGGAAGAGACATTGTTGGTTAGACACATTGGATAGATACCCTTCACCCTTCACAGTTCTGCTGCACCTCACAAGTCCATTGTGAAGGTTGGGAGACCAACTGGAGCAGATTTGAGAAGGTGGGTAAGTGTAGGAGTAAGGAAAAGAATGTGATAATTCCTGTATGATCTAGTAACAGTATGTTAGATCATATGTCATGCAATGTCACTAAACAGGAGCAGACTCCTGTGTTTTAATTCCACTGCACAGGATCAAATCTCCACTGTTGTAACTTCAATTGTCTGAAAAAAATACTTCACCAAACAAGGGGGTTCTTAGGGTCTTTTAAAAGTGTCATATTGATACTTCAGGTAAACACATTCTGTAATTCAAGTTAAATTACTAACTATGTTAAGCAGGGAAAAAAACTTTCCTTTGAAATTGGCAGGGAAGCACAATATATGGAAAAAGAAAAAAGTGTATATATTTTGTCAAATTGGTTGAATCTTTCTTATTTACTTATTTGTTTATCTTTATGACTCCCAATGGAGTCCAGGGCAACTGTTATACCCAAGATTCCATAATTAAAATAGCTGGTATCAGGTGCACTGTCATGTTGTCTGGTTTGGAAGAAATTATTTTGATGGACACAAACAAAAGTTAGCTTATTCTGTTCCATAATAAGTAAGAGTCAAATCTAATGGAGTGGTGGAGGGCTCCTTTGAAGTTTGAAGGGATCCTAATGCAGCACAACCTAATTTCCTTCAATCTCAAAAGACCATATAACTTTTTAAACTCAGAATCCTGAAGACTCTTGGCCAGTGCATGAATTGCCGAGATATGTTCTAGTCCTGGAAAGGGGATGGGGAGAAAAAAAGCAAAGCCAATTCTAATAATAATAAACAAAACAAACAAGCACAAAATAATTTTTTGTTTAAAAAATCAAGAAGCATTGTGATGGCTCACTCACAACTCATGGCTGAGATGTTACAAGCAGCAGATGGGAAGCCAACGCACCAAACACAGTCTCAAAAAAAGGAGGCCAAAAGAACTGTAAAACAAAGAGAAATCCAAACAAAACCATGACAATAAAAATGCAAAATGGAAGGAAATAAAAACAGGAATGAATTTAATAATAAGACTGACATCACCACCACTTCTCTTGCAGAATGAATTTTTGACCTCTTGTTCCACACCTAAAACTTATGCAGAACTGTCTTCTGCAGAGTTTGACATTAGAGATGAGAAAGCACATTGAACTGGGAAAAGGTAATGCTACTTCATAAATGTTATATTGTATCTGTTTTCATCCAGAAAATTTGAAGGGACAATGTTCTACTTTTAGAGCATGATTAATGGATTCCCTTTTATATATGTAAGAACAAAATACCACAGCAGTTTCCCCTCTATCCTCAACATAATAATCTCTCAAGATAATAAATGCTGACAACTATAGTTAGGTTGCACCTCATTTGATATTAAACACAAAAAGATCCACTGAAATTTTAAGGTTCTAAAGGGATTTTCTTTAAACCAGAAAATTCGTTTAGTCAGTTTATTAACACATCCACTTGAGAATCCAGGGTAGGGGAGAATATTTCAAAACAAATGATTGTTTTATACCAGATTATCGACAGCTTCCTGAAATACATATCGTAGCTGATGGGGTGGCATGGAGGGACTGAAAATAATTATATCATAATCACACAAATGTGTCCTTATCTTAATTTCTCAAGTGTCAGGAATTATACTATTAAACAGGGAACTAGAAGTATATTTTTCTACAAGAGATAATTTCCTCACAAATTGTCACATCTGTAATAAAGTTTTTGGGATCCTGTAGTAAAGTCTTCTTATGCTCAAGAATTAACTGTCTCATTACAATCAGCAGAGGAGAGAGCAGTGCACGTTTGGCACATCTCTGATAGTTGTTGTGGGTTTTTCTGATACAGTAGTTTGATTCCCTGCATCGTATGAACAAATTTTCTGCCACACCTTGATTGAAATTCCTATTTTATAGGATATAATGATAATGATGTCTAAATTAGCTCTCTAAGTGAAGTCTTGCTTCAAATCATCCACAAATCTACTTTGGTAAAGCATTTCTGCTTCAAAACATTCTTTTGAACATAGTAATATTTAGATCAATGTGAGAAAATACTAGTAACTGCAACTTTTATCTTGTTTCAGCCAATGTGCCAAATTTATAATTAAACTGACTTGTGTAGAGAATTAAAGATACCACAGATTTTAATTAGGGTTCTGATTTGAGATTTTTTTTCCTTCCTGCAACTTTTAGCTCTGATTACGCATTCTTTTTCTTAAAGTTCTGCTTTCGATTTACAGATGAGAAACTGCATTTAGACACATACAATAATCCTCAGTCAAGCACTGCAAACTACTGCAGTGCAGTCTGAATCACAAGGAGACAGAGCTCTAATCAATGGTCTAGGCCTTAGTCAGCAGAAAGAGCAGCATGCAAAGCACAGTAGCACACTACCAAGTCATGAAAACTGAAATAGCTATCAGGATAAAAATGCTGCTTTTCCCTTGCCATGTAATAAACAGCAACCAGAAACAGAAGTGTTTTCAGCAGAGAGCTTCAAGGGACTTAACAGAAACTGGAGATGGGTGGGGTTATGTGCATTTGCAAAACAAGGGTAGGTCCACAAATCATTTTTCAAATGGAGAATCAGCATCTGAAAGAACTGGGAAAAACAGTCTGTTTAATTCATGAATACTGAACATGGGATCTCTAGATGTCCATAGATTGCATATCCCTCTGCATCAGTCCTAGCCAGCACAGCCACTGATGAAATATTATGGGAGTTACATTCCAACAACCTCTAGGGGACACATCTTCCCTATTCATGATTTAATGATTGGAACAATAAAATTATTTCCTATATATAGATGTCTAAGTTGACAACATTAATTTCAACAGAAAAGCTCACTGAGATGGCAGGGTTCATGCCAAAACATGTGCAGAGTGACAAACATTAGTGCCTAATATAACATGGGAGATGATGTATGATTAGATAAAACATGTAATCTGAACTTTGCATCACGCAGAATGTAGCACAGAAAACCAATATTATATGACTGCTTGCTTTGAACTAGTCCTTTAACCAGTAATTCCTATACCCTAAATGTACCTATCTAGGACTGTACCACACAAAGCAGAGACTCTGGATATCTATGGATGAAGCAGAGAGACTGTGAACTGGGTACAGTCTTCTAGTTCCTTCCTTTTTGCTTTAAAAATTGTGTGCAAAATTTATGTGCATTTTTCTGGGGAGATTAAGAACCACTTGATAAAGAGTTTTAGACAAATATATTTTAAAAGGTCAAATAGTCTGCAGCACAAATTCTGAACTTGGGTACACATGTTCAAAAAACCCTCAAATAAAGGGTTCACACACTGAATAACACATTTAATACACTATGACATTTTTAGTGCTGACTTTTATAAACAAGCAACTTCGTCAAGTATGTGAAACATACTGAAATACTGATACAGGTTTAGCAAAGTGCACTTGGGAGGTGAAACTATGAGCAACATGAACTTAAGAATATATTGCAACTCTCTCTGATGGAGTCAGATTTCCATTTATGCTCTCCTCTGGAACCCAAAAAGCTCCTAGTCCTCTTCACACCAAGGCAGAACAATTTCACCATTAACTGGAAAAGCCAGAAGGAGAGGGACCATCCTAACCAGTTAGACGACACCTGATGCTACAGAAGGGTGGGTACAAAGTCTAGAAGAGTATTGATTGGGTGTTCTGTTCAAAACTTTAACCTCTAACAAACAGGAACTTTGCTCCAGTTGCTGGGTTCTTTGATGGATATAGGGTTGTCAAATCTCAGGGTGCTGGCTGGAGTCTCAAGTAACTGCTATGATTCTCTAAGTTGCTAGACGGAAAAACAGATCTCAGAGTAACAGCACTAGGGGAAGAGAAAGCTCAATTTTTGTCTAACATGGCCTTAAAGCAGGGGTAAATAAGCTCAGGGAGCCTGGGGGACAAATCTGTGTTTGAGCTGCCATCATTGAGCCCAAAATCAGGGAGGAGAGTGCCCTTGGAAGAGTCCCCACCCTTGATGAGGAAGTTGCTCTTGGAAGCCTCCAAGAACCGAAACTGACCGATTTTGTACAAACAAAGCGACTTCCCTCCCAAAAGTAATTTTTTCAAGAGCTCATTGGGGCTACAAAATGCCCTAGAAGGACTTATGTGGCTCACTGGACATCCTTTAACCCTCTTCTGATTTAAATCTTGGACAACTATATCTACCAATTCGCAGTTGGTAAAAGGACTCATAGGCTGAGCCCTGAGTGTTTATGTGTGTGTTGTCTCAAATGGTCCCAAGTGCACAGACCCAGTTAGATTCCCCTTGCTCCTAACTTCTGACACTCTGACATTAGGCTCACTGGAGCAAGGACAGGAGTTAAGCACATCCATAGTGACTCATGAATCTTTCTGCTGCACAAGCCCTAGGCTGCTGCTGACCTGACAAACTTAGATGTGTGCTTTGAAATGAGTGTGTGCTATGTAAGACTGTCTTTTAGTGCAGCATAGAAAAACTGAACTTCATTACTGTATAAAGCTATCTGTACTCTCCATCACAGACTTTTTCCATGCTCTGAAGGGCATTTTCCAAGATAAGAAGAAATTGGGAATCGTTACAGTACCTCTGAGAGAATTTAGAGTAGCAGCACACTGTCTAAGAATCTCAAACTCTACATGACTTAATTCTGCCCTTGAGCTACATACAGTTATGGACACATGGTTTTCTCTTTGTGCACAAGACCATTCTTGTCCTCTCATCTCTATGCTCTCTGACACCCACTACAGAATCTACTCTAGAGGGTCTCGCAGTCCTGCAGGACAGTTTGGGTGTGTGTGTGAGGAGAGAATGAAGTTTGATCAGAAATGGGCAAATGCAACTGGATTCTACTCCCTGAATGACTCCTTTTTTTCCTCACTATTAATTGCCACTGCAAAGGCTCTGATGCAGGAGTGTAATGGTTTTTAAACCTAGAGTGTAATGGTTTTTAAACCTCTTGTCCCAACTGCAGTTAATTGGTCTGAACCACAGTATGCATTCCCAACAACATTCAATGGCTCTCACTGGCAGTGAACAAACTATGTATGAACAAAGGCATCAGACAAAGAGATTTCATGGGGTTCTTAGTCTTGATCATCTAAAGGCCTGATATGCCTGTTTAGCTGTCAGTAATTTCAAGAGTTGCTATCAGTCTGTTGTATCATACTTTGGCAAAGAAATTTAAAGAAGACTTGTCAGGCAATAAAAGTTCTAGCCAGACAACGGTCCTTGACAGAATCTGTATATGCTGGCTTCCTACTGGTCTTCAACATGTGTCTCATTACTCATTGATAACTTCCTTTTTTCCTTTACTATGTCTCACTCTTCCCACCCAGCTCTGAGTTCCACATATGAAACTGTCCTTCCCTCCAGTCTCTTCTTTTTCCTATGAAAAGTACAATACTCCCCACCCCTGTGTTTTTTCCTTACTAAATATTCATTTGATTATTTTACAGAAACAAAAAATAATGCTCAGGAACAAAAACTGAAGCTTTTATTAGTTTGCAAACTATGACTGTCTCACTTTATAAAAAATAGAATTTCATGATTCCTTTAAGTCAGAAATGTTATTTAACTTACTTCCAAACTTTTGGAAATAAATATTGCCCATTTCAAGACTTAAAAACAAATATGTGAAATAACTTTGCATCCACATGCAAGAATTGACTCTATTTAGTCTGTTTCTCCCTTTAAATGGGGGATGGGGAGGAAGAGGGGTTGAGGAAGAGGAGGAGGATCCTCTTCCTTGTCCCCTCCTGACCCTCCTCTGTAGGGCAGCAGAAGGAAGCTTTCCTTTTTAAAATTTACTTTCAAGTGGCATTGCACTGAACTGACTTGCTGAGCAATTCAGAAGTAGATTCAAAGGGCTTTGAAAAAAATATAACTTTGCATCCTCTTTCATTTCTGCCCCGCAGAGGAGTAGGAGAAGCTTTATGATTGCCTGTACATCATGTGGTTGCCAAAAAAAGAAAACCAAGCCCTCCCCAAAATGGACCAAACCATGCAACAAATCCCCATCTGATGGCACCCTTAAAGAATCAAGCATGCTATTCAAACGTGTTTACTGGAGCTACATGTAATGTTATTAAAATGGCTGACATGTACATCCTATAGGTTTTACTATGCTTCAGATTAATGTTGTTGAGTAGTATATGCCAATGTTCTGAAACTAATCACAAATGCAGTTTCTAGAGGGGAGTTGTGCTCATCTTTTCTAGTCAAATCAAGTATTTCCTGGCATTTTAAAATGAACACATTTATGAAGAATGGTATAATCATGGAATTAGAAAGGGCCTATTGAATCCAACCTCCTAAGTGTATCTGATGATACAAGGTTTCATTTTTCTGGTGAAGTGAATTTTACTCCATGAAAGCCATAACGTGTGTTTGCTTTCAGAGGGTCATGAAACTTTGTGTTGGTTTCATAACATAAATAGTTTATACCTCTTAGCTCACTCATCTTAACATATCAGACTTCCAGAAATGAGGATTTTGGCAGCCAGAGGCACACTCCAAACCCTTAGTGCCACAGTGCCAGAAGGGGAGCAACTAGTAGGTATCCTTTAGTCTCAAGAGACTATGGTAACGTGATTTGAATAGAGGTCTTGGAACAGCGTGTAGGTCTTGGAACAGCGTGTAGTGTGGCTGAGAAGGCCAATTCACAAGTAACAATCCCTTCTACACTGAAGACAAATACAATCTGTCCTTTGTCCAGCTCCCTGGTTTTGCAGAGTTTGGGAGCAACTGGCCAGCTATCAAACCTAGGCACAAACAATAAAGATGCCAGCACAGTAGGTTTATTGATTTAGCTGTTGTCAGATGAAACAGGCCTTCAGTATGGTTTCATTCAGCCAAGTATAGTCCTTTATCTGAATAACCTGTGAAGACCAAGATATTATTTGATTGCCTGTATTTCCTCCACTTCCTAGTATGCTTGCCTTCTTTGTCCCTGCTTCTCTTGTTTTATTCCCTTCAAGGATACATAACCATCTGCCTGTCAGTGCTCATCTCAGATTTGACTTTGCCTCTAGACTGACAGCACTGTCATCTTGCCTCCCATTGCCTGCCCTAGACCAACAGAATGAACAAAACAAAAAACAAAAAAAAATCAGAGTACTACCCAAGTAGCCATCAAGATTGTATAGCAATGACCAAAATCCAGTTAGTTGCTTCTGCTGGCTTAACTCAGTCAGTGTAAACCTCAGCTGCAAACTGCCACAAGTTAAAAACTCAGGATAGACATCTGATACTTCACACCACTTGTATGACAAACACCGATCCCGACTTCTTAACCTGAAGCCATTTGCTACTGAAATTTACATTAGTAGAGCTGTGCTGGCATAGTTTTTCAGGTGGACTGTGTCCACTGTCATTGATCTCAACCATATATAGGTGGAGGCTTGGAGTGCATGGAGGATAATAAAAAATTATATCTGAGCACCACTGAAGAGTTAGTTTATATTTCTTGTACATATTATGAGCTTTGATTCACTGAGAGAAAGTTCTATCATTCTAACTCAAGTCACATATAGAAATTAAACTTTCCAAGTAATTAAATGAAGGCAGCTTCTTTCCGTTTCATGATTAATAATTTCACATTTTAAAAAAATGACTTATCTGTACTACTACAAGTATGAATAACAAAAACAATAAAAGCGTTAATTTCCCATTACATAAAATTCAAGAAAAGGCGTCACTTACAGGCCGGACTTCACCGTTGGTATTGGTATACTGCCGGGCCAGACCAAAGTCTAACATATAACATTTCCTGTAGGTTGAAGGCAGGCGTCCCATGGCAAAGTTGGACTAGACAAGAAAGATAGAATAAGAATTTAGCATATCAGTAACACTTCATGTATAACAGTAAGAGAGTCATCATTCACTGCCTGTTCCAATTATCACTGGCAAAAATTATGTTGCTTAGCATAGTAAATGCTTACACTAACAGGGCAGTACATGAATCAAATGAATGGATGGATGGATGAATAGAGAGTAATTCACACTAGAGTAGGCTCACTGAATCAATGGGGATATAGTGAGTCAACTCCTCCTTAAGACCCATTGATTCAAATGGACCTACTCTAACTATAACTTAGTATGCTGAAGTAGAATAGGCCCATTTGAATCAATGGAACTTACAGAGCAACTGACTGATCAAATCTCCATTGATTCAGTGGGCCTACGCTAATATGATCTACTATGCTAAGCTATGGTTTTGGTCTATATTAACATGCTTACAAGTAGAAAAGTGTGAATTTGTGTCTTGGGTTATACCTTCCAGAATAAACTGACTGGAGAATTCAGAGAATTTGTGCCCAAGAGCACAAATCTGCATATATTTACTTGCAAGCATCAGCCACTTACTATGAGGATTTTTGCAACTATGGTAATAAGCATCTAATGATCTGTCCTATTTTCATAGATTAAAACTGCTTCAGTAATTTGCAGCTCCCCAAAGAATGCAGCTCCTCCAGCTTACATCCACACTGAGAACCAGTTCTATTTTCATTTCATTCATATAGCATAATAATAACGTATCTGCGTTATTAAAATGCTCCTCAGGACAATTTTTCTTTATTAAAAACAGCAGGTAAAAACAGCAACATTACATATACTACTCTTTAAAGGTACAATGGCCAATCCCCCCTGTCTACTAAAGTGAGCAGAAACATAGTCAATACACTTAACCAATCATAACTGGATGAAATCTAGCAAAATATCATCCCAACTCTAGCAAAAGTGCATCTGAAGAAACAGTCTAAAAGGATCATAATGAAGTTGCCAATGTAAATCTGCATAACAAATTAAGGATCAGAATCCTATTAGCAATTGCGCAGTGTAACTGGGTAGATCGCCCCACAACTGCTTTGCTGATTTAGGCCTTGCTGACACAGAAGTCAGGAATCAACTAATTTAAATTTAGGCAGGGGGCTTACCTGCACAGGAGGAAGTAGCAAATACCATATTGTGCAACTGGCTAAAAGGCATTGCATGTGCATAAAAGACAAATAGAATTTTAGCCAATATTTAAGACTTCAGACTGTTGGCCAGCTCCCTCCACAACAAATATTTAGCTGATACACATTTGTTATTCCATAGGTATTTGCAATGGAAAGTATGACAGTCTCTGACCAGGGAACAGAAAAATTGCCCCAGTCCAAATTGTTGCTGTTATATGCTGTCAAATCCCTTCCAATTTATCACAACCCTGTGAATGATCAACCTCAAAGAGATTACAACCACTTCAAATTAGGATGTTTAGAATTTCTTATCTGTAGTATTCCAGATGTAAATTGGACCGCTATATGCAAGTAATCCCAAAATATGGCCAAGTAACTGACCGTCTGCTTTAGTCACAATTTTGTCACTGTTTGGTAGGGTCCTGCACTTGAGTAAAAATAAACTACAATCTAGAAGTCTGCAGTTTTGTCTCCTCCAATCCAGGCTACAGTTCCAAGCTTTTCACCTGGTTGAGTATTCTATTCAGGTGACTGCCAGGGGCCTATAAAGCTATAGCCTTAGACTGTGCTCTTCAGCCACAAAACACATCTCAGCAGAGAAGACCTAACCTAGATAAGGTCTAGTTCTCTTTCACTACACTATTGTCTTTTAGAATCTGGAATCATGGAAACTGTACTGTATCTCGAAACCTAAACACATGTTTCTTTCTCCAGTCTGTCAGTCATCTAGTTTGTCAGCTGCAATGGTAAGCACTGAAAGGACTCTGGTTAAACTTCATTAGCACTCAGTACCTAATGGCTGTAGTGACTCAGGCAAAGAATGCTATTCTTCCCCCAGGCCCACATCAGCTTATAACTTTCTTTTAAAAGGATTAATCCAATAATTCTTTTAAAAATAAATCCTAACAGGAGCTGAGTACTCTTTACTGTGCTACTCCAACATGGGAGCGCATGTAGTCTTTTTTTAAACAGCTGGGGTAAAAAAACTTCCACTTTCCAGATGTTTTGAATTTCAACTTCAAGGATGTCCAGGAAGCATGGTCAATGGTGTGGGCAAATGGGATTTGCAGTCCAAAACTTTTGGAAAGCCAGAATTTTCTATTCACTTAAGAATCTTATTTATTTGCAGCATGCAACTAACTGTTTGATAGCCTATTAGCAATAGTGGTCTGAATAACAAACACAGTGGTCTGGGTCAGGCTACTCTTGGGAGAAGGAACAATTTTCTAACCAGTTTAGGTATACAGTGGTGCCTCGCTTAGCGATGTTAATTCATTCCGCAAAAATCGCTGCAGAACGAAAACATCGCTATGTAATATTAAAAAGCCCATAAAAACTCATTGAAACCCCTTCAATGCGTTCCTATGGGCTTAAAACTCACAGTTGAGCGAAGATCCTCCATAGCGCTGCCATTTTCGGTGCCTCTAAAGCGAGGAATCCATCCCTAAACACAGCAGGCGGCCATGTTTTTTCCCAGCGGCCATTTTGAAACCGCCGATCAGCTGTGCGAAAATGGGGGCTTTGCGATGATCGCTTCCCTGTGATCATCGCAAAGCAAAAATACCCCATAGAGTACATCACAAAGCGATCACTTTTGCGTTTGCAAAAACAGCGTCGCTAAGCGATTTCATCGCTAAACGGAGCGATCACTAAGCGAGGCACCACTGTATACTGTAATTGTAACCCTGCTTCTCTCTCTCTCTCTCTCTCTCTCTCAATCTCTGTGTGCTTAAATGAGAGTGTATTCTAATACATCGTGACAAATATAAAAGCACTGAAGTCTGGTGTCTTTTAACCAAAGCTTTACTGTCACGGTTCCAAGTGGCCCTTTTATGTTTCACCAAACTAAGAGCTCACGCTATACGCCCCTCAGCTGCCACCAGTTGATTACATCAAACATTGCCTATTATTGATAATCGAGGTCCATATGTCATTTTAAAAGAACCAAATAGAAATTGTTTATTGTTACAGATATAGATACTTCAAGCAATGTTGTTAACTCTTAACAAACATCCTCCTTCATCCACTCTCAACCACCACTCTCCTGCCCAAACTCCCCAAATCACCGCAACATCTTCAATTCTCTCTCAAACTCCCTATCTCAAAACTCCCTATCTAAACTCCTCCTCCTCCTGCTGAGTATCTTATATCTCGTGACTCCGCCCGTCTAGCACTCCTATTAGTCTATGCAGATAGCATATGTATATTTATGACCTGGGCGGACGCCACAGTTATAAACAGGCCATGCATGTGACACAGACTCAATTATTTACAAGTTGTAATGACTTATCTCTACATGCATTTGATGATAGCTGCCCTGTCCAGATATTTTTCAAAACTGAAAGGAGGGAAACAAACACTCTTGAGGAATAGTACTCTATTGTTGGTATGGCTGACTATCTTTTCCAATTAAAACATGATTGTGCTGACTTAACAGTACCAGGTAACACGAAAAAGTAACAGGGAAGCAACCTATATAGATGATGAAAGGAGAACAGCAACCAGAATCTACTTACAGGCTTGATGTCTCGGTGCAAGAATCCCACTGAATGAATGGCTTCTATGGATTCCAAAATCTGTTTCCCTAAGCGGAGGGTCGTGCTCAGCGTAAAGGTGCCCCGTGGCTGGCTTCTTCTAAGATCTGCAAGATTCCGACCCTGAAATAGGTTTTATAATATTTTCAGCAGCAGATACAACACAGTAGCATAATTTGATCTAAAGCAAGAAAAAAAGTCCATATTTTGTTCAGACATAGTATTTTTACCTTGTTTCCCTGAAAATAAGACCTAACCTGAAAATAAGTCCTAGTATGACTTTTCAGGATGCTTGTAATATCAGCCGTACCCCAAAAATAAGCCCTAGTTAAGTGAAAGCCCACCCTCTACCATTGTACAGCAACCAGAAGAAGATGACATGACTTTATTTGAATAAAGGTAGATCGTACTATGAAAAAAATAAAGCACCCCGTGAAAATAAGCCCTAATGTGCTTTTTGGAGCCAAAATTAATATAAGACCCTGTCTTATTTTCGGGGAAACAGGGTAGTAACCTCAATTCTATTGTGCTCAATGTAATCACCTAACAATGAAACTACAAAGACAGTAGTTAAATCCCTTGCTATTGTTTTTTAATTGGCAAGAACAACATTGGGAGGACAATAGGCCATCCTAGACTGTGGCACAGGAGGACATGGGGCAAATCCTTTCTCTTGTACTATTTTCACAACACTCTAACTGTTTAACTACAACTGTTAGCAGTTAAAGAAAAATGCTGTTCACAGCATGAAACCTATTTATCCAACCTTTGTCATTCAAACCAGTGATGGTGCAGACAGCAGTCAGGAAAAACAGGTGGGCAGAGTTCACAAGGATTCCACAAAAAGGAAAATAAATATGGAATTGTGAAATGTTTGGGGAAAAGGAGGAAAAATGTCACCAGTGGTGGGAGGCTCTCCTCTGAAGCCCCTATTCCCCCGGGTCTTCACAAGGTTCTCGCTCTCCTTCTTTCTTCGCTGCCACCAGGTATTACTGCTTTAATACCATTTAATCATGGAGACATGTGTGCTTTTAAAACTGAAGTCATTTATTAGATCAGGGAAGTTAATAAATGATTAATATTCAATAGGTAAATCACAGGTTGATAATCACTAGTATTTGAATCAAGACTGCTATAACTTTAAACCTCTTTTAACTCTATAGACACTGTCTAGGGGGGGCGGGGTATAAATCGAATGAATGAATGAATGAATGAATGAATGAATGAATGAATGAATGAATGAATGAATGAATTACTAGGGTGATGGAACACAACATATTCTCCCTAGCATGAAGGTGACATCTAAATGTTATTGTGTGACTCACTTAGATGCAGGCTGTTCTCAGAAGGGTTACTTAAACTGAGATTTTACATTATACATGTTTGCGTAATTGTCTTAGGAGCTACAGTGAACCCCCAACTTCTGGCACTGCAGCCAGATACCTAAACTACTGAGCTATGGAAAATGCTCTCTCCAGCAGATCTTACAGCCCAGATGGGCTTGTATGGGGTATGGTGTTTCAGATAGCCTACACCCAAGTTATGGCTTTATAGGCTATAATTGGGCAGTACAGTTGTTGTAGAGAGAGATGTACAGACAGAGATGGCCTTGGTCAGCAGTCTACCTACACTGTGTTGGATTAGTTTAAGTTTCCAAATATTTTTCAAATACAGCCCCACTTAAAGCATGTTACAATAACTCAGTCAAGATGTAACTAAGGCATGTGTCACTTTGGCTAAATCAAACAACTCCAGGAATGGGTACAACTGGCCAAGCTTCACCAAAGCTGGTTCATTAAAGAAAACTACTTGTCCTAGTTGATATATCTTTGCCACAGAAACATTCATAAAACTCTGGCACGTTGTACTGTTATGTCCTAGGCGGAGGGTTCCCAGTGCAATAAAATAGACTCTATGTCCATCTTTATGCATGAAATTGCTGGTACAAATCCCTTTCCAGAGTCTGTGGAGAAGAAAAAAACAAGCTACCGACACACAATGGACCATGCGACATGGAGATGGAAATGAAACTCTGCTACAAACCCAGAAGCCAACTCTGCCCTCACATTTATTCAGGCAACACAATTACTGGACCCAACAATGTCATACACAATATCAAAGGCAATTTTACCAATTCCTCTACCAATGTTATTTATGTCAATTTTTTGCCAACAATGCCCATAGGACAAACAGAACAATCTCTACACAAACGAATCAATGGAAAAACGTTACATATCAGGAATGGCAACACACAGAAACCCATTTCACATCATTTTAATTTACCAGGACATTCCACAGACAAATTGAAAGTGGGTATCCTAGGAAAGAGGAACTGCAAGCCAAGAATCCAGAGATAAAATATATACACATGCTAGACACACATATCAAAGGACTTAATATAAGCCAAGGCTTTTTGGGGCACTACCAGATATAAACACTACAAATACTGTACTGTATTGCATCTCCCATATATTTTTCCCTTGTTTAACAGATCCACTTTAGAAATTTGTATGATAAAACAGATTTGACACTGCTTTTGTGGTCATCCATTGTTTGGGTTAATTCAAACACTTTACAACTGATTACAAAGAAAAACTTGTAGGAGAAAAGTTCATGAACACTGTAAGTACCCCATCAAAACATCATTGTTATTCTACCATTGTTATTTTATCACTGTTAATCTAGGATAGAGGTTCTCACATTCTTGACTACACTAGCTCCTACTTAAAGACCTGCATGTCAAAGACATTGTCATCACAACGTTTAATACCCACTGACTTTCTTACTGATCAGCCACAACCTTGATGACATGTATAAATATTTGCCATGTTGTATCTCAAGTGACAGATTTTACTTTCTTGGCCTCCATGATCACTGCTGATAGTGAAAGCAGCCACAAAATTAAAATACACCTGCTTATTGGGAGGAAAGCGATGACAAACCACAACAGCCTCTTAAAAAGCAGGGACATCACCTGGCTGACAAAGGTCTGCATAGTCAAAGCTATGGTTTTTTCTGTAGTGATGTATGGAAGTGAGAGCTGGACCATAAAGAAGGCTGACCACCGAAGAACTGGGGCTTTTGAATTGTGGTGCTGGAGGAGACTCTTGAGAGTCCCCTGGAGACTGCAATGAAAACAAACCTATCCATTCTAAAGGAAATCAAATCAGTGAGTGCTCACTGGAAGGACAGATCCTGAAACTGGGGCTCCAGTACTTTGGCCATCTCATGAGAAGAGAAGACTCCCTGTTGTTGGGATAGTGTGAAGGCAAGAGGAGAAAGGGGCGAGAGAGGACAAGATGGTTGGACAATGTCATCGAAGCTACCAACAGTAGACTTACTTGATGTGACCAAAACTCCGTGAGGCAGTGGAAGTCAGCAGGGCCTGGCGTGCTCTGATCCATGGGGTCACGAAGAGTCGGACACGACTTAACAACTAAACAACAAAAATCTACTTCTCTTATGTCTAATGAAGTGGACTTGTCCAGAAAAGCTCATATAACAAATATATGTTAATCTTCAAAGAGCCACCACATTTTTGTCTTTTTTCACTCTTTATTTTTATTTTGTTTTCACCTATAATGCTACTTCAAATGTACGAAACCCTAAACAACTTGGCTCCAAGCTACTTGAAACACTGCATTTTCATTTATGAGCCTGCCCGGGTTTTTAAATAATCAAGGGAAGCCTTTCTCTCTGTCCTATCACCCTCACAGGTGCAATTGGTGAGGACACAAGTAAGGGACTCCTCCTCTGTTTCTGTTCCCAAACTCTGGAACTCTACCTCATGGGAGGTTAGCCTGCCCCCCCCTCCCGCTTGCTGTTCTTCCACAAGCAGGATTTTTTTTCCAGTAAGCAACTGATTGTCTAAGAGTCTGGCTGCTGCGTTTTTTTCCTCCTCTCATTCCAGTTTTTATAGCATTTTTCTGAGTTGTGCTCCTTCTTACATTGTAAGACACTTTTACAGGAGCGTTTTTAAGATTATAGACCTCCTTAGGTCCTCTTGAGGGAAAATGCAGGGTATAAATATTTTAAATAAATAAATAAATAAATAGGTCACATCAAGTAATCACTAGAATCTTAGTCAATTTGATTTATTAAACCTTGAGGAATCTGTGATTTGGCTTCAGAAGGCCCCTTGAGATTATTCTGTTAATCTCTCTGAACAGGGAGGACAGGGCCTTTACTGATTCCAGCTGCAGAAGCAACTACCCGAAAGTGTTTGGAGACCATATGACTGATAAACCATTATGACTAGGCTCACTGATGCTCTCTTTGGCCAACATCTGGTCTGCAATTAAGTTGCGTTTTTTTTAGGTGGGTGAGAAGTTCATTTTGTGTGGAGAAGAGGGGAAAATCTGGCCTATGAAAGGTCCAGGTTTCTCTTCCTCTCCAAAGCCCCTCCCTTTTTTGATCCTTACTCAAGTGAGCTGAACAAGATTTGTTTTTAGCTCACTTTAAAGTACATCAGACGGGTCCTTCTCAGTGGCGACTCTGTTTCTATTGGATCTCTATGCCTGGGAAATGCATTTGACTCCCTTATTGCTTGGTGTTGTATGCACTTTAAAACCCTGGTTGTTTGCATCTGCTTTTAATTGATAATAAAAACAGTACAGTGGTGCCTCGCACAACGAGTGCCTCACACAACAATGAATTCACACAACGATGCCTTTTTCTGTTAAATTTGCTGCCTCACACAGCGATGTTTCCTATGGGGGATTTTCACACAACGATCTCCCTTTTCGCTCCTGTAAAAGTGTCTTACAATGTTTGGACGCTGTTTTAAATGATTGCAATGGTTAGTCCACCTCCTGAAACCTATGCAAACTGATTTTGGTGTTGTTCTGACGCTTCGTTAATTTATGATGATTTTTTGTTTTTTCTCCATAGGAAACCATTGGATGGTCTGTCTAATGGTTTGCAATGGAAAAAACAAAAAATCATCATAAATTAACGAAGTGTCAGAACAACACCAAAATCAGTTTGCATAGGTTTCAGGAGGTGGACTAACCATTGCAATCATTTAAAACAGCGTCCAAACATTGTAAGACACTTTTACAGGAGCGAAAACTGGTGTGTGTGTGTGTGTGGAATCTGACATTAAAAGAAAACAAACCATCCAA